ACCAAGGCGCACTAAAAGACGTGGCATGGAAAACTGCCAACCTACAGTACAACTCGGTCCTCATTCGAATAATCCAGATGAGCTGGAGGACTAAGGCAGGCCGCGGTCTCCCTCTTAATGTACTAGTTAGGTCACTCTCACCAATGTGAAATAAGAGCCGCCTCAATGAAAGTGCGACATGTTCCGTGAGGATGTGGCACGCCTAAGCGACATACACAGCCATTATTACCGACTCCCCCTACCCCCACGGTCTTTTTGCCATAGGATCTTATGCGTAAGGGTGGGGAGTATGGTAAAGCTGCGTCGGTGCTGCAGTCACTCCGTGGTGCGCATAGTGGACGTCGTCATTCGCGATAGTCGAACTGTCATCTAATTCTAATCACGAGTTCCCATGCCAAAATTTTCTCTGCTTTTCGTATAAAACCAAACACTGCTATTAGAATGTCTATTCTCAGCGACACTTCTATCTAACAACTACATCAATAACTGTGGTGGTATCTTCAATTCTATTCAAAGCGTCTCTTGAACACGAGCTTCAAAAGGGGTTTTACCTAAAAGTTGCTCTTAAATTTAGTAGGGATATTGGTTTATATTCTGATATGTGGATTCAAAACTTTCGTGAGTTTGTGTGATGTATGTAAGGACACCCAGTGAGTCAGCATTGTTTTGGGCAGACGACGTAATTTGCTCGCCTATATTGAAAAACTACCAATACTTAACAAACGCACGGTGATTCATTGGATGGTTGGTTTCACCTAAATCAAGAGGCTTACTAACCGCCTATATGCAAGCAAGGAGTATAGCGGTAGTTAGAACGCTACCGAACGCATTACCGGACGTACTTCTCCCCTTGTGCCACGGGGCTCAATCTCGAACCTCGCCAACAGCCACACACCGGCCTCAGAAACAGAATAACATAGACAACTGAGACTGGAGTATTAATTTCTGTCTTATTAGTCATCAAACGCCAGTTGTACTAGAACTCAAGTGATGCAACCTGTGAGATCCGAATCTGTAGCCTGTTTGTTAGATGTCCAACGCTCTAATCACTGAAAAACGGACTCATTGACCTGCCGATTGCAATCGGATATATTAATAGTATTGGTGTTGTTGCAGCTCATGTGTTAGGACGGTGGACCAAAAACCAACCCTCGACCTCCTGGTTGTGGGACGCGCGCAACCATGGCTAAAACAGGGCAATGGCAGGTACCAATGGGGACGGTACCTGCAACTAAAATCTCAAGACGCTCCATGAAAAATACAGATAAAACGGATGTCAATAACGCAGTAGTGTAACCAGGAAGCGGCACGCTTCGTGGTCGCCTGGTACCCGGAGCGTAGAATATACGGGCCAGTACCCTATATTCGCGGCAAAACTTGAATAACGGTTGCTGGAATGTGCGGACATTGTTTGATATCAAAAATCAAGCAGTTGTAGCACGCGCATTGTGGGACTATAAGGTGGAAGTTGCCTGTCAGAAGTTCGCATTCCAGGGTCTGGATCGAGAGAAATCAAAGTTCCTCAAGAGAACGCTGAGCACATACTGCTCCACAATGGTATGCAAACGAACACAGGACTACATGGGGTAGCAACAGCCATGGCAAAGCAAGTGCGCAGCACTCTCTTAGCCTTTAAGCCTATCTTAGAGCAGATGCCACAGCCCCCTTAAAAGGCAGCCTAGCAGATATGTCTGTGGATGCCGTCTATGCACCAACATGACAAGCGGATGATGCGGTCAAGGCTGAGTTCTATGAAAACCTTCAAGCTATTTTGGCCAGGATACCTCCTAGGGATTTGCCAGAGAGCATAATGCCAGCACTGGCTCATGTGATGAAACGACGAGGTACATCATCGGAAAATATGGACTGGACAAATATGGCGACAACGGGGAACGACTGGTAGCATTTACTATGACGACCTCATCGTTACAAACAACCGTTTTTAAAACCCACATCGACAGTTGCTAATGTGGTATCCAAACGATGGTCGCACGGCAAACCAGGTAGACTACATCTTGGTACGCTCAATATGAGCCACCTAAGTATCCGAAAGCGGTGCGGAAGCTAGATCAGACCATGAAGTTTTCTGTGCTCGCTTGACGATTCGAAGAGATTGACTTCGCAACGTGTCAACGTTATCTCATTATCAAATACAGAAAGCCGCGGAGCGTTCAACGAAAGTGTCACCGCACGGATCAGAGAGCAATCCACTGTTCACATCGAACCTCCGGATAACTTTGATACTAAAACTTCGCCTGATACTCAGTGGCCACACTAAGGGGACGCCATACAATGTGTGATAAATTAGACCTTGCAACAACAGGTAGTACCGGAAAAGGAGTAGAGCTTCACAACGACCATCCATCTCTCAGTTAGGATCGCCTGGTTGTCCAACTCAGAGTTCCCCCTTTCCCCAGTTCTCTTTAACTTCTTGATCGACCGGGTGATGCATAAAACAAGTCTACCTGATAGTGGATGCGAGACGAGCCCTGAATTCAGAGAACCTGACCCGATGACGTTGTCATACTTGGAAATACCCCTCATTCACTAAAGCCAACGCTAGATTGCACGACCAACTTCGCTGCGACTGTTGGTTTTACGATTAATATACGCAAGAAGAGGCTCCTGACTACGTACCTTGGCACAATACAACCAATATTTATCAGTGTTTGACTCATCGAAGAAGTTAGCTGCTTTCGCTATCTGGGCTCGAATATACTAGCCAACGGACAGGCCAAATAATAAATCAGGAAACGAATCGCGCAAGCTCGAAACGCATTTAGGCTTCTAGCCAGAACGCTCGGGTCTCGCTCAGAC